TGCGAGGTAGGATCCTCCAGGGCCCGTCCGTGTCGCCACCCAGGAGGGGAGGGGGTGCTAGGTGGGCTCCCATCCCCAACCCGCGGCCCCCTCCTCCTCACTGTGGGTAGTGGTCCCGCCCGGGTGTGGCACGGGGCGGAGCCACGGGGGGAAGGGAGCCGCGAGGCCTTGGCTTGGGGACCTGACACCTCCGGTGGTCTGTGGTATTTTGTGATACTCCTTTTCAGGCTAGCAACCTGTCAAAATTTACTTGGCTCAATTGGCCACGGATAGTATAAGTTTTATTTTTATTTTCTTTTATTTCTCATTCACTTGTTCTTGGGCAAGGGAGAAACCATTTGAGAATTCACAGTATTTGAGCTACTTGGTGCAGGGTTGGGCACCTGCCAGCTAGAAGTTAAGAGTCTGTTCAGCCAGCCTGCTCTTCCCGGTGTGGCTCGGGGGGAGGCCTGGCGAGGGACTGTTCTCCTGACCCAGCAGCTGTCCACACTGAGGGCCTTACCACTGGTGATTGTAGAGTCCTTCTGCCCCAAGTCACATTGTGGCCCAGGGACTTCCCAGTGTCTCAAATTGTGGGAATACTTCCTGGTACCCACTGTTGTCATGTGGGAAGATAAAGTTGCACTGGATCTTAATGCATACATTTTGCCTGAATTGCCTACACACATACTAGTAAGCTTGAAGTCAGGAACAAGCTCGTGGTCGCACACACATCCAGTCACAGTCTGATGGACAGCGCTAAGGAGTTGTCCAAGTCCTCTGGGGATAGGGACAGAGTGGCGGTGGCATTGAGGTCAGAGGCCCCAGCTGAACAGTCTCCCTCTCTGCTTGGCCTCCTGTAATCTGCTTCTTTGCCAACTCAGTAGAGAAGCAGCTAGCTGAGGACAACATCTGGTACCCAGGGTGGCCTGGCAGCCCAGCCGGGGAGTCAGGAGGCCTGGGTTCTACACCCTAGACCTGCCACTTGACCTTGGGCAGTTTCCCCTTGAGTTCAGTTGTTTTTTGCTTGCCTTCTAAGGTACACTAGGGTATAGACAAGTAGCCTTGTCCTGGGATGTCAACTATCATCCAATGGACCTGTGACTTCCGTAAGGCATAGCCACTGCTCCTGAAGACGAGCTACATTCAGAATGTCAGGAGGACACAGTGGGCCTTGTTTGGGATATGGTACAGAGTAGATGGAGTTGAACAACGATTAGACATTTGCTAACTAAACCAATTTCTTTTTCTGGGCTGGGAAATGAACATAGTACTTTCCCTAAAGTGTTCCCCCTCTCAGCCTAACCTCCTGACCCTACCCCCACCCCAGCCCTACACCCCCCTCAGCACTACACCCCCATCACCACCTGGACCCTAGAAAGATGTTCTGAGCCAGGTGGTGGTGGAATGTGCATTTAATCCCCAGTGCTCCAGAGGCAGAGGCAGGCAAATCTCTGTGAGTTTGAGGCCTGCCTGGTCTACAGAGCAAGTTCCAACTAAGGCAACATGGAGAAACCCTATCTCGAAAAAAAAAAAAAAAGAAAGAAGGAAAGAAGGAAAGAAAGAAAGAAAGACACTCTGATTGGGATGTTCCAAACCTTCCTTTAGGCCTATGCTTAGCCTTAGGCAGAGGGCTGGTACCTCAGGTTCGCTTTCCAGGCTTTGTCTGGCTTGCTAGTCTCTGCACTGGGTGTAGCAGAAAACAGTTTATAAGTGAGCGTCCGTGCAAGTGCTTAGAATAGTGCCTTGAACACGGTTAAGTCATTCCAAAGAGGAGCATGATGCAAAGGCCATCAGCTGGGAAGGCGGGAACTCTGGCAGAGCAGGACAGGTGGGCCTCCCTGCCTGAGCAGGTGCTTCTCCCTGATGCCAGGAATTGTGCCTTCTCCGGTAGCCCCAGTTAGTGTTTTTAGGCATTTTGGTATTCAGGAAGTTGCATTTTTCAGCTAGATCCCTCAGATATTGTGGGCCCGAGTAGGAGGTGTGAAAAGTTACCACATGTTCTGGGGTTGTCAGGAGCTGGGGGCGTTGCAGGGGTGATGTGAGCTGAGGCTAAAAATGGTGAGTTAGGGCCACCTCTTTATGACTCTGATAGCTGGGCGTAGTGACACATGTCTGTAGTCTCAGTCCTTGGGAGGCTGAGGCAGGAGGATTGTTAAGACTTCCAGGCCTGGGACTGGAGAGATGGCTCAGCTGTTAAGGGCACTTGTTGCTTTTGCAGAGGACCTGGATTGGGTTCCCAGCTCCCACGTGGTGGCTCACAGCCATTCATAACTCCAGTTCCAGGGTACTGGAGGCTTTCTTTTTGCTTGTTAGTTTTCGTTTGTTTTGGTTTTTCAAGACAGGATCTCTCTGTGTAGCCCTGGCTGTCCTGGAACTTTCTCTGTAGACCAGGCTGGCCTCAAACTCAGAGATCCAACTGCCTCTGCCCCAAGTGCTGAGATTAAAGGCATCCATCAGAGGCAGAGGGTTTTTGTTTTTATTTATTTATTTATTTATTTATTTATTTTTAGATTAAATTTTTAAAATTTATTTTTGGGCCAAGCAGTGGTGGTGCATGCCTTTAATCCCAGCACTCGGGACAGAGGCAGGTGGATCTGTGAGTTTGAGGCCAGCCTGGTCTACAAAACTACACAGAGAAGCCCTATCTCAAAAAAATTTTTTTTAATTTTTTGGTATACATGTTTTTATTTTATGTGTATATTGTTTTGCCTGCATGTGTATATGTGGAGCTTCTGGGAACCCCTGTTTCCCCAGTGTAGAGCAGACTCTGATCATCCCACTGATTTCAGCCAAGTGTCTGTTCTCACTGCACACCAAAAGAGGGCACCAGATCTCATTATAGATGGCCGTGAGCCACTATGTGGGTGCTGGGAATTGAACTCCCGGAACCTCTGGAAGAGCAGCCAGTGCTCTTAACCTCTGAGCCATCACTCCAGCACTCCCTTTAATTGTTTACTTATTTATTTTTTGGTATGTGTGTGGTATGTGTGTGAGGGTGTGAGGGTGTGAGTGTGTGAGAGGTGTGTGTGTATGAGTGTGTGTGTGTGTGTGTGTGTGTGTGTGTGCGTGTGTGTGTGTGTGGGGGTGAGAGAGTGTGTGTGTGTGTGTGTATATATGAGTGGGTGAGAGTGTGTGTGTGTGTGTGTGTGTGTGTGTGTGTGTGTGTGTGTGAGTGTGTGAGTGTGTGAGTGTGTGAGTAAGGGTGCATGTACATCCATTTGGATGCCAAGGATCTAACTCAGTTTATCAGACTTGGTGGCAAGTGCCTTTATCTGCTGAGCCACTCCCTGACCCCCTAGTGTGTAGGGGAGCAGATTCTCATGAAACCAGGTTGGCCTCAAACTCAGTAAGTAGCTGAGGCTGGCCTTGAGTTCCTGACCCCCTCCCTCCACCTCCCAGGTGCTGGGTTTGCAGGCATGCACTTTTTATCAATTTTGTCTTTCCTTGTTTTTCCAAGGCAGTCTTTCTGTGTGGTTCCTTGGATGTGCTGTGTAGAACCGTCGATCACTCAGCTGTGTCTGAGAGTGAATTTCCTGTTCTTGAAGTGACTAGGCAGAGACTAGCCAGTGGTGTCATTAGGGAATGCAAGAGGAAGCAGATTGGTGAAGGGAGTCATAACAGACTGAGGGCCTCCTGCAACTAGGCCTGGGGTGGAGGCCCTGTTAACACATCACGGACTCGCTGCTCTTTCACTGTCCATCATCTGTCTTGCAGGGAAACAGGTACAGAGGCCAGTTGTTCTCTTCAGGACTCTGAATCCCGGAAGGAGACCATGACTTTTAGCCCAGAGGCCACTTTATCTTTGGAGGGGACTGTGAACCTAGATGACATTCTCTTTCTGGGGGATTCAGGGGACTTTGAAGAGAGTCTCTATGTGGAAGAGTTTGAGAAGCCAGAGGAGACACTATATATCGAAGAATCGAAGCAGCCAGAGGAGGCTCTGGACCTGGGAGAGCCAGTGAGTCCAGAGGACACCCCGCCTGTAGAGGAACCTGTGAAGCCAGATGAGGGACAGTTTTCGAAGCACGTGGAACCTGCTAAGAGCCCAAGCCCAGAGCAGACTGCTGGTGAGGGCGAGATGGTGGCCCTGGAGGAAGGTCTTCCAGCTCCACCGAGTCCCAGCACAGAGGAGGACCTCAGCGTGGAGGACCTGGCGCTGCTGGAAGGCCGATTCCAGCAGTGTGTACAAGCTGTATCCCAGCTGGAAGAGGAGAGGGATCAGCTTATCCACGAGCTCGTGCTGCTCCGGGAACCAGCCCTGCAGGAGGTGCAGCAGGTCCACCAGGACATCCTGGCTGCCTACAAGCTGCATGCACAGGCCGAACTTGAGCGGGACGGGCTCAGGGAAGAGATCCGGATGGTGAAGCAGAAACTGTTCAAGGTGACCAAGGAATGCGTGGCCTACCAATACCAGCTGGAGTGCCGCCAGCAGGACGTGGCTCAGTTTGCCGATTGCAGGGAAGCGCTGAGCACTCGGGCAGCCCAGCTCTCGGGAGAACTGACCCAGCTCCGAGATGCCTACCAGAAACAGAAGGAGCAGTTGCAGCAACAACTAGAAGCACCCCCAACCCAGAGCGATGGGCACTTTCTGCAGGAGAGTCGGCGGCTGTCAACGCAGTTTGAAAACCTCATGGCAGAGAGCCGCCAGGGCCTGGAAGCCGAGTATGAGCCTCAGCTGCTGCGGCTCCTGGAGAGGAAAGAGGCAGGGACCAAAGCTCTACAGGACACCCAAGCAGAGATCCAAAAGATGAAGGAGGCTCTGAGACCCCTGCAAGCAGAGGCCCGGCAGCTCCACCTTCAGAACAGGAACCTGGAGGACCAGATCACGCTCGTGAGGCACAAACGGGACGAAGAGGTTCAACAGTACAGGGTAGGCCTGCCAGCTGTGTGAGAGAGAGACAGCGTTTGACTATGTAGTCCAGGCTGGCCTGGAGACCTTGAGAAACTTGAGACCCTTCCTGCCTCAGCCTCCTGAGTGCTGGGATGATAGGTGTGTGCCACTACAGTCAGCAGAAGTGACGTCTTTTAGGTGAAGGGAAGTCTGATGGCTTAAGTTTCTCTGTGCAGCCCTGGCTGTCTTGGAACTCACCCTGTAGACCAGGCTGGTCTCAAACTTAGAGATCCACCTGTCTCAGCCTTCTGAGTATTGGGACTAAAGGTGTGGTCACCACGCCCAGATAGGCCTAATGTCTTTGGGGCTGGAGTTACCATTCACCGTGAAAGAAGAACCTGTTCTTGGGCCCACTAACTTGCTCTTCCCCCCTGTCCTGTCTGAATTTCATTTTGTTAAGGCCAGTGTTAGAATTTGACCAGTATTTGTATTCTTGGTTTACACAGCTCTTCATGTGTTTGGGGATCGAACCCAGGGTCTCATGCTTGTTAGGCAAGTACTCAGTCACTAATAGCCCCTCCCCACCCCCTTTTAAAAGGTCTTATTAATGTCAGGCAGTGGTGGCGCATGCCTTTAATCCTACCATTCAGAAGGCTGTGAGTTCAAAGCCAGCCTGGTCTACAGAGCTAGTATCAGGACAGCATGTGCATGTAGTGCCCAAGGAAGCCAGAAGAGGGCGATGAATCCCCTGGAACTGTGGTTACAGATGATTGTGAGGTACCACCAGAGTGCTGGGAACTGAACTCAGTCAGGCCCACAGCAAGCCCTCTTATCCCTTGAGCTATCTCTCTAGCTAAAATCCCAGTCTGACAATTATTTTTACTCTTGGTTTACATGGCTCTGGGGAGGGGTCAGGACTTCACACATGCTAGGCAAACTCTTTACAATGGAGCTTTATTATCCACAAGCCACCCCCCCTTTTTTAAAAATATGTTTGTGTGTTTTTATTTATCTATTTATTTATTTATTTATTTAGTATACAACATTCTGCTTCCATGTATATCTGCACATCATAAGAGGGTACTAGATCTCATAATGGATGGTTGTGAGCCACCATGTGGTTGCTGGGAATTGAACTCAGGACCTTTGGAAGAGCAGTCGGTGCTCTTAACCTCTGAGCCATCTCTCCAGTCCCCCCCCCCCAGTCCTCTTTTTTTTTTTTTCATATTGAAAGTTTTATTGAGGAGGAGGTAAGAAAAGAGGTACAGAGACACAGAGAGAAGACAGAAGAGAAGAGGGAGACAGGAAAAGTCCTGTCTGCCACAGGGGGATAGTGGGAAAGAGACCACAGTCCTCTTTTTACTTAAGACAGGACCTAATTTGACTAGGTTAGTCTTGAACTCACTCAGTAGCTCAGTCAGGCCTTGAATTTGAGATCTCCCTGCTTCAGCCTTCCATGTAGCTAGGATTACAAGCCTGTGCTACCAGGGTAAAATGGGTTATCAAACCTGGCTTGGATTCTTAGGTTTTATAGACAAAGAAACTGAGGTTCAGTAAGGTAGTTTGAACCTGTGCCTGCCCGCCACTAAGTATTTAAGTGTCCCTTTCACGTAAGCCTTTGCTAATTCTAACTGAACAGTGAATCCTGCTTGGCTGAAGGGAGAGCTAGAGAAGCCGATGCAATGAGTTCATTCCCTCCTCTACTGGCCACATTCGCCCTCAGGTACCACCTATCCATACTCCACCTTAAAGCTGTCCAGGGTTTGGGATGGAGTCTCTGCATTTTCCTTTTTTGTACATGTCACCATATCCCTTGTATCCGAGTTATTTCTGATTAAGTGTGAGCCAATTCTAACCCCTTTTTAGACGAGTAGGATATAAATACTGAGTGGATAAACAATTACGTCTGCTGCTGCTGCAGACTGGGTGTGCAGAAGGTTGGGCTGTCTTTACTTATCTCCCTGCCATGCAGTTTAGGGGCCACATCAGGCAAATGCTGAGTTAAGTGTTGCTAGGTACGCTGAGAAAACTTCCATGTGGGACCTTTCACAGCAGGGGTTTGTTTTATTTTCAGACACGGTGTCAAGTAGCCCAGACTAGCCTCACAGTAAATGTGACCTGAATTTCCTGATACTCCTGTCTCCCTCCAGTGTGCCGTCCTTTAGCTTGCCATCCTCCTGCCTCAGCCTCCCAAATTCTGGGAGTATAGCCATGCACCATCATTCTAACTTGCTACTTTTGCCTTTTGAGACCTATATTTCCTTGGATACACTTAAAACTGTATATCTCAGCCTGGCGTTGGTGGTGCATGCCTTTAATCCCAGAACTCGGGAGGCAGAGGCAGACGGATCTCTATGAGTTCGAGGCTAGCCTGGTCTCCAGAGCGAGTGCCAGGATAGGCTCCAAAGCTACACAGAGAAACCTTGTCTCAAAAAACAAAACAAACAAACAAACAAAATTGTATATCTCTCCCTCAAGAGAAATCTTGAAAATGGCTGCATTCAGTTTGCCGTGTGTTTTACTGCAGTATTTGATTTTTCAAAAGATTTTATTTTTACTTATTTATTTATTTATTTATTTATTTATTTATTTATTTAGTATTTCAAGGAGTATTTATGTGTAACTGTGGCTGTCCTGGAACTCACTCTGTAGACCAGGTTGGCCTCAAACTCACAGAGATCTATCTGCCTCTGCCTCTGCCTCCCAAGTGCTGGGACTAAAGGCGTGCGCCACCACCACCCAGCTAAGATTTTATTTTTAATGATGTGTATTGTTTTGGTGTGTGCAAATGAATGCTGGGGCCCTCAGAGGCTAAAGGCATGGGATCCCCTGGGAGCTGGACTTACTGATGTGGGTGCTGGGTATCGAAGTCAGGTCCTCTGTAAAAGCCGTCTCTCTGGCCCTACATGTGCTGTTTTTGAGACAGTGTCTCACTGTAGAGTACATGCTGGCCTCAAACTCTATTCTCCTATCTCAGCCTCCAGTGCAGAGGTTTCAAGGCCTAGACCACCATGCCTAGCTCCAAATTCTTTTTTTCCAAAGGGGCTCCTAAACAGTGTTTGTCAGACTCTCCTATTTCATTCTGGTTACTTTTCAAGAGTGCTCTGGAATTTCTCAGGCTGGGCCTGCACTCTTAGAGTCAGTTTGCAGATATTACCACCTCCACCATCCATCCATCCATCCATTCACAGTTCCTAAGTGTCTACTAGTATGAATCAGGCTAAGGTGCTGGCAAGAAAGACAGGAAATAATCGGGGATGAGGTGCTGCTGCTCTCCCAGTTTGCAGCCTGGGAGGGATGCCAGACAAAATGAACATTTTCATAAAATGTAAACATCATGCTAAAGAGGCTTCCTAAGTTGGGGGTGTAGCTCAGTGGTAGGGCGCTTGCACAAGCCGTGGGTTCGACCTCTGGTACTGCACACTCCGAAAGAGAAAAATGAGGCCTGAGATGGTGGCATGCGCCTTTAATACCAGCATACAGGATGCAAAGGCAGGTGATCTCTGAATTTGAATCCAGCCTGGTCTATATAGTGAGTTCTAGTTGTCCCCTGCCCTCCCCCCACCAAAAATGCTTGATTTGAGATGGTTAAGTATGAGAGTGTGATATGGAGTTTGAAGTGAAGATACTTCCATGTGCTAAGCAGTAAACAGTAGTAGGAAGGACTCATACATGAAGTGGGTATGCTCACTCCTTCCTGCCTGGGGAGCAAGGGCCTGGCAGACGATCAACAGTGGCTATTATGTGCTTAAAGTTCTCCACGGAGTTCATTACTCCTTACACCTCTGGGAGGTATGAAATGTTTGGACACTGAGTAGAGAGGGGAGACGGAGAGGCCATCTGTCTAGTGTTCTGCGGTTCCAGAGTGATGGCATGAGGATGTAACCAAGTAAGCATGCCCACTCTCTCCATGCAGCATTGCAGTTTGGTCTTGAATGAGTTCACCAAATGATTAAGGACAAGTATTCCAGGCAGCGGGGACAGCTCATCCGAGAGCATGGGAAGTGAGGTCATTGTGGCTGAGTCGTAAGGAATGAAGAGACAGACAGGGTGGAGTGGTAGATGGGAATAATTTTACATCAGTGATTTCCCTTTTTTGGTGTGTATGCCTGTGTGTAGGTATGCTTAGGTATGTTATCTGCTTAGAGGCCAGGGTGTCCTGCTCTGTTACGCTCCACCTTGTTCCTGTGAGATCCCTTACTGAACACGCAGCTATTATAGCCAGCCCCACCCCACCCCAGTGTTAGGCCCAAAGATGTGTGTGGTCACATTTGAGCTTGTTGTAAAAGCTCTGGGGATTTGAACTCATGCCTCATGTTTCTACACCAGGTACTCAGCTGCTGAGCCACCTTCTTCACCCAAGTTTTCACTGACATCGCAGACCCCTTCTCTACTCCAAATACTCTATTTAAAAAAAAAATTATTTGACAGGGCCTAGAGAGATGGCTCATAGGTTAAGAGCACTGACTGCTCTTCCACAAGTCCTGAGTTTAATTCCCAGCAACTGCACGGTAGCTCACAACCATCTATAATGAGATCTGGTGCCCTCTTATGGCATGAGGGCATACACACATGCAGAAATATATATATATATATATATATATATATATATATATATATATGTGTGTGTGTGTGTGTGTGTGTGTGTGTGTGTGAATTATTTGACAGCCAGGCAATGGTGGTACACACCTTTAATACCAGCACTTGGTAGACAGAGTCTGGTGGACTTCTGAGTTTGAGAACAGACTGATCTACCAAGTGAGTTCCAGGACAGCCAGAACTACACAGAGAAACCCAAGCCTCAAAAAACCAAACCCAAAAAACAGAAACAAAAGCCAAAACCCCAAACTTCTCTGCTGATTTCATATCTATGATATATTCTGATCACAAAACTTCTTTGCTGATTTCATATCTGTCTATGATATATTCTCATCACATCCATCACTCCCTTTTCTTCCCTGGCCTGTGCCAAACCCTCCCTCCTTCCTGTTTTTTGTTTTTGTAAAAGTCTATTTGGCACGGCAGTGTGGAGCACCAGGGAGGGCACTTCAGTCTGGCCTTCTGGGGTTTCATAGAGAAGAGTCTGTGTCTAAGAAAGTAGCAATAATCAGGGGTGAGCTTGGAGCCAACCGCTAATCCTGGCTCCACTCTCTCACAGGTAAAACAGGATCATACCTGATTTTAACCCAAAGGCCAGAGGCAGTAAAATGGGATTTCTGGGGCTGGAGAACTGGCCGGTGGCTGAGCGAGCTTGCTGCTCTTTCAGAGGTCATTCCCGGTGTCTATCTGCACAGGGCAGTTTGCTCTGTCCGCTAACTCCAGCTCCTGGGGTCTGTGGCCTTTTCTGGCAGCCCTAGATACTGCCTGCACATAATGCCTGTATACACACTGAGGTACAGATGAGTACGCATTATTTTTTTAAAGATTTATTTATTTTTATTTTTAAAAACATTTATTATTATTATTATTATTATTTTTATTTTTATTTATTTTTTTTTTTGAGACAGGGTTTCTCTGTGTAACAGCTCAGGCTGTTCTGGAACTTGCTGTGTAGACCAGGCTGGCCTTGAACTCACAGAGAGCTGCCTGCGTCTGCCTCCTAATCATTGGGATTAAAGGCATGTGCCACTACTGTCCAACCATTAATTTAAAAATTTTATGTATGGGTGTTTTGTCTGCATGTATGTCTGTATACCACATGCATGCAGTACTCAAGAGGCCAGAAAGAAGCATCAGATCCTTTGGAACTGGAGTTACAGATGCTTGTGAGCCAACATGTGGGTGCTGGGAATTGAACCTGGGTCCTCTTAATGAGCATCAAGTGCTCCTAAACATTGAGCCATCTCTCCAAGTGATGGTGGCACATGCTTTTAATCGAAGCACTCAGGAGGCAGAAGCAGGCAGATTTCTGAGTTTGAGGCCGGTCTGGTTTACAGAATGAGTTACAGGACGACAGTACTAAACAGAGAAACCCTGTCTTGAAAAACCAAAATCAGCCGGGTGGTGGTGGCACACACCTTCAATCCCAGCACTCGGGAGGCAGAGGCAGGCGGATCTCTGTGAGTTCGAGACCAGCCTGGTCTACAAGAGCTAGTTCCAGGACAGCCACCAAAGCCACAGAGAAACCCTGTCTCAAAAAACCAAAACCCAAAAAAACAAAAAACAAAAAAAAAAAAAAAAGAAAGAAAAACCAAAACCAAACACTGAGCTATTTCTCCAGTCACTCACTCACTACACTACCCCTACCCCTTCCTTTAATAACAGGGTCTACTTAGCCGTGGCTGGTGAATCAGGTGGTTTCCATCCACCTGCTCCTGCTTCTCCATAAAGGTTTCCTGCTCCACCAGCCTCTGAGATGCTCTTCACTGGCCTGGTGGTGGTGGTAGAGTCCCTCGTTAGCTAGACTAAAGCTTCAAGTCACTTTTTTTTTTTTTTTTTTCTTTTTAAGTTTTTCAAGAGTTTCTCTGCAGCCCTGACTGGCCTAGAATTCAAGAGATCCACCTGCCTAAACCTCTGGAATGCTGGGATTAAAAGTATCTGACACTACTGCCCAACATTTTCAAAACTGTTACTTTGTTGTTTTTGGCTTTTTGAGACAGGGTTCTCTATGTAGCCTTGGTTGTTTTGTGTGTTGGGATTAAAAGTGTAAGGCTTGGTACTTGTTTCTTTTTTGGGTTTTCTTTTTTCTTGGTTTTTCGAGTGGCACTGGCTCTGGAGACCAGGCTGGCCTCGAACTCACAGAGATCAGCCTGCCTCTGCCTCCCGAGTGCTGGGATTAAAGGCGTGTGCCACCAATGCCCAGTGGAACTTGTTTCTTCCTTCCTTTCTTTTTTTTTAGAGAATACTTTATTAGTTTTTGTAATCAAACCCACGTAGATAAGACCTTACATATTTAATACTGTGTGTTACCCCTGTACAAATGGAAAAAAATTAAGTTCAACATTTCTAGACCAATATGGCTGTTAATTTCTGTACTATGCCAACTCAACATGGTAAACTGGGATACTTTTTTCCAAAGTTGACAGCACAGCTAAAGTTTCCAAAAATTCCAATTATATATATATATATATATATATATATATATATATAATAGCAATATGTTATGCATCAATAGCAAAAACAGCTTTTCCAGGTTCTGCAGTCATT